TGGGCAGGCTCTGCAAAAAAAAAAAAAAAGGATTGGGCCTCTCCCCACTTCTGCCTTCTGCCTGCCTCTCCCACGGTTGGGGGGAGCATGGGGCAGGCGAGCTGTCAAAAGGTTGCAACTTTACAAATAGCTACATTGCAAGCTAAACTACATGTGGGTGTGGTTTAGTTTGCAATGTAACAAAATCATTTAAATTGTTAACCCCCCCTGTATGCGTACAGCGGAACACAATTGAATTGCAAAAGCAGCCAATTTTTGTCACGTGTGCAAGCACCCTCAGAGATTAACTGATTTATCTGCGCTTCCTCAGAAAAATCTGTAGCAGAAATGGAAACTGAACCAAGATCTCTTGATCCTAGTCCAGTGCTTTTACTTCAAGAGAGTCTTTCATTTCTCACAAGCATCTCCGCTCATATTTAAACTCATATGTACTCTATTGATATTTTTGAACTGGTCCGTGTTCCCCTGAACATACAAATTTGGCAGTGTGTGCATGTGAAAAACTCTCTCAAGTTAAGCAAGAGATCTGTAGAATGCTTTTAGTTCTGTAAAATACAAATTAGGAAGCACTGCATCAAGCCTTTTAGTTAACTGTATTTACAAACAGATTAAAAAGAACTGGGTTGCCAACTGTTGAAATCTCAACTTAGGATGTTTTATTTACAACATTATTTTCCAAAGCAGCCTCTAGCTAAATGCTTCAGTTATTAATATGAACATTATATCCTTTCCCCTCTAATTTAAATGTGCTGTGGCTGTGAATGAAAATGACTTCTTCAGTGGTGTCTCTACTTGGGTAAATCACATGAGCAATCTTAAGGAAACTGGCAGTTGTCTAATAGAGCACACATTCTAATCCCAAAGAGCTTCCAAAAAGATTTCAATTAGATGTTACATTAGACACCTGAAGTACACATATTTCTCTCAGCTCCTTAGGCAAAAATAACAAGATAATAACTTGATTCACGGTTGTTTTTGTTCTGCTGCAAGGGATTTGGTGTTACATAGCAAAATCTCTTCCTTTTGAAATAAATCAGAATTTTATTTTGCAATCCAGAGGCCTCTCCAGCATGGAAGACTGAAACGAACTAATTCTTCGGAGAATAGAATAACAAACATAAACCCTCTGCTTTCAGTGTTTATTTGAGAGATGAAGCACACAAATAGATATCAGTTAAATTTGGTGTGGTACTTTTACATTAAATTTTATTTGGAATTAGATTAATATTTTTCTATTTTTACAAAGACTTTTCCATCCCTTAGCTGTAAATTGATTTTGCAAACCCCATACTTCATGTAAGCAGACCTCACAGAAGTCAGTGAGACTAATCACATGGGGCATTTGTAGACATGCATGCAGCGCCCTGATGGGCACTTCTAAAAGCTCCTGGCGCTGTGGCGCATGCATTTGTATAAACAGCAAAATGTGTGTCAGCACTGAGAAAATGGCAGCAGTGCACTTTTGAACTAAAACACATCAAAGTTGTTTTAGTTCAAAAGCGCGTCACGACCATTTTCTGTGCCCTGATGCACATTTCACCATTTATATAAATGAACGCAGTGCAGTGCCGGGCATGTCAGCTCGTGTGCTCCACAGACTCAATCGAATGTGCTCGGATGCCCTGGATTTCCGGTGCGTCAGAGCAGGCAAAGGCACGTGTATAATAACTTTAAATATAAATACCCGTGCAGCCTTCTAACCTAATTATATATCTGTTCAGATAGTAGATAAACAGTTTGTATAGAATAGAAATGTAAAAGCTGAATGTCTGAAAGAGCATCAAAAAGGTAAAGGAAAAAATGCAGATGTCTATGGAAGAGACTTAAGGTGATGTTTTATAATGCCTAGGATTTCTGAAACCTGCAAGGTTCTATTTTGACATGGTTAATTTTGTGTACTTCCTTTGCTTGCTTTCTTGCAGATTTTGCATTCTGTAGAATAAATGATTTTGGCTATACATCATTCTCAAACAAGAAGATCCAAGATTCTTTATAATGATGGTGCATGTATTAGATACTGCTACTGTTCAGGACTTAGCCTTGCACTAGCACTAAATCTCATTAAAATTATCACAGTACTGGCTGCCTTCAGCCATGGGAAAAAAATCCCCCTAGTGCTTTACTTTCAGCTTGTTGCACCCCTGCACCAAGCGTAGCACATGCTCAGAAGAGACATCATGTTAGTTTGACCTAGCTCACCCTATGTCTGTATAGATCGGGTGCTTCAGTGGGGCTTTTTAGTACTTTTATCTAATAGTGGATTGAATCAGCTTAGATAAAAGCACCACAAAGCCCCACTGAGCACCCAATCTATATAGACGCTGGGAAGCCCAGTCAAACTAAAGCGCTGTTTGTTTGTTTTTTCCATGTCTGTCAGCAGCCAATATTTCTTGTTCCCTCTTATGGTACCCTAATCTCTCTCCCCTGAGCAACCTTGCAAATGTAACTATTTTATGGAAAAAATTAACTCTGGTGTTCAAATAAATAAGATCATGTTGAACCTCCTGCAGGAAAATTGTTCAAGATGAAGTTTAGGCTGAGTTTTTCAAAAGAATGTAGCATAGTAAGCATAGCTTTGCTTTGATCTTCGTTCAGTTTGGTTCAGCATGCTGCTTAGTGCCACACACTCAACACTTTGGACTTGTGAATTCTGAAGTGTCCCATCACATACCAAGTATTTGAGGCTTGGACTTGCAAGATGCTCAGCAAAGAACGTAAGTATGTCTCAGGGGTATAGGTTGTAGCCGTGTTGGTCTAAGGGCATAGGCAGACAAGGTTCTTTGGGTAAATCTGATATCTTTTATTAGACCAACTCAAATAGCTGGAAAAATTCTCCTTAGCAAGCTTTTGGGCACAAACACCTATCTTCAGGTTGAGAAAGTGCCTGCAGGTGGTCTGTGCTCTTACTGGATGGTGTGGTAACACATCCAGAGCCTAGGCTAATATGTATGCAAGAAAGCAAGAAATCTGGATGGGGGGGAGGGAAGGGGAAAGGAATGAATGTAGCTGTAGTCAACTGATGAGAGACAGGAGAGGGGTGGCAGAGGGAATGAGAATGGCTGGTAAAAAGTGGAGGGTTTACCTGGGGAGTCAGGTATTAGGCAGGTTATAATGTGTCATAAATCCAATGTCTATATTTAGTCCATGATTTTTGGTATCCAGTAGATTATCAAGTGAAGTTCAGAGGCTTGGCTGTGAAAGGTATTTTGTAAATTCCCTTTGAGGATTAGAATTGAGAGATTGGAGAGAGAGATCCTCTTCTCTCTCATCCTTTTCCTACAGCTACATTCATTCCCCCCCCCCCCCCCTCCCCCCCCCCCTCACCCACCCCAACTTCACTTATACTAACCACCTCAATTTACATTTTAACTGGCTGGCTTTCTTGCATACTTACTGGCCTCTGGCTGGTTTACCACTCCATTCAGGAAGAGCACAAACTACCTGCAGGTGCTTCCTCAGCCTGATGAAAGGCAGAACTGTACCTAGACTCCTGGCAGCCATGGGCAAAGTTTTAGTTTATCATCCGTTCACCAGGGATGATAATAATAATAATAATTTTTGCCATTTTTGGGCTCCCTTTTGTCTGGGCCCTGGGGCGGCCACCTGGTTTGCCTATGCCTGTGTCTGGCCCTGACGAAGGGTGTTTGTGCCCAAAAGCTTGCTAAGAAGAATTTTTCCAGCTATTTAGTTGGTCTAATAAAAGATATCGGATTTACCCAAAGAATCTTGTCTGCCTAAATTTGTGCCAAACTTTTAAATGCAAGTCTCATTGACTTCAAGGGGATTAATTGCTTGCTTGTAGTAAAGTGTGCTTAAATGCTCTGCTACATAAGGGGGGAGTGCTCTCTACTTTGAAGCATGGAGCCCTGATGACCAAGAAAAAAAGCCTCCCTAAACGTTGAACTACATATAGTTTTTGAAAACCTGGAGATATTTAAATTAGTTTGAGAGCTAAATTAGCTAAAGCACAGGAATTATCCTGCTGTGCTTAGGTAGCAGGGGAAGATGGAAAAAGTGTCCTAACAAGATGTTCTCATCTGTAATTTCTAGGATGAATGTTTTCTATTTATTGAAAATATTTTATACTATGGTCTCTCTGTAACTCATCAATATGAAACCTTTACTATATTATGATTTATTAATTCTGCTTTTAAATGTTGTAACTGAAGTGTCTGCTAAACACATTTACAATGAATAACAGTAAAACAGTTCAATATAGCATATCTGCTGAGCAAATATAGAGTAATGCAGTAAGACTATTCTCCCATCAAGCCCCCCCCAATCCCATAACATGTGGTTGAATGAAACAGATTCATGAATAGATGAAGATTGCTTGTGCTGCTCTATCCCCTATAAGCATTCTCATTGCTACAAGATGTGTCCTGGGGAGTGTTTGCCGTTAGTATCTGTTAGGTAGACAGCAGCTGAAACTAACCAAAATCTTACACGTGTGAGAAATTAAACATAGCTCTACATAACTTATCTGTATCCCTACAATGCTTCTGCTACAAGTGGTAGAAATGTAATAGATGTATGCAAGGGAGTTTTTTCTTGATTCCTTGCCTTGAGCAAAATTTGTTAATGATATTCATTCAGATACAGTATGGTACAAATGGGGCACATTAAATGGTTTAAATTAGGTCAAATTGAATAATTGAATTTATTTTTTTACTTAAAACAGCTTAATCAGCTTAGAGGGCTGGAGTCTGAAAAAAATAGTTTAATTAAATATTAATTGAAGGTTAATATGTTGAGCTTCATTGTCATCATTTGCAGCCGTTTTATTTATGCATCTTTATATTTTTCCAGTTCCAGCTACTTGGGGATGAAGTTTATCCATTCTCCCTTGATGAAGAATTTGACTATGACAATGTGGCATTGACTCCGAAGTTCTCTGAAGCTGAGATGAAGTCCATGATAGATCTGTCTGAACAGAAGAAAAGGAGAATAGACCTCAAGTCAGTACTATCTGAAGACTGAGTCAGATATGCTTTGCATTGTTCATCTGTGGATTATTGTTTTTTAAGGAGAAAATCTAGGTCCCTTCTGTACTCATAGAAGGCTCTTTGGCTGTGGAATCAGCATAGTTCTGTCAGAGAACCTGAGCTATGTTCATACAATCTATGCAGCTGGATGCACTGAAGTAGCTGCTACATATTATTATTTATATATACTACCATACTGCTTAGGAGTTCCACACATAGTGACAAGCCATCTACAAACAAAGAACAAAAAGATGGTCCCTGTACCAAATTGCTTACAATTACAGCATTGCAGCTGCACAGACAACAAGGGAGGATTCCTTTCTGTCTCCTTTCCTTTACATTTATGTATAAAGACTTGCTTATGTCCTCAGTTGGATGCTGAAATTTGGATTTACCCCTAAATGTACAGAATTCCTGCATATATCAATGGCTTTTAAATGACTTATTTGGGTCTTTGGCCCTACTTGCAGCTGCTTTGTTCCTGTCACCTAACAGTACAAAACACAACAGTGCCTATAAGGACAGCCAAGGATTCCCTTGTTGAAACCTGCACTGCTCTAAACTGGAGCTGTCCAACTCCTGAGCAGCCAGGGGCTCTATGCAGTGGGGGCCCCCCCATCCTGTGAGCCCTCCAAATCTCATGGGCTGTGCCACCCCCAACTCCAAGGGGCATGTTGCGGAAGCTGGAGGAGGGAGAGGGAGCTCAGATACCCCAGTGACAGCATCAGTCAGAGAGATGTGGGGAGTGATGGTTGGGCGTGAACCCGTGGGCTGCAAATTAGACAGCCCTGGTCGAAATTATTTTTGTTGAAATTATAGTTCCTTAGGGCCATTATAGGTTGCTGGGAGTCAGAGCAGCTCTCAGTCTACTTCAGCTAACATTTGGTACTAGCTTTTGCTCTCAGCCAGCCCCTCCATGGTTTCAGAGTTACCTCAGAGTTTGTTCTGGCGGAGGATTCAGTCTTTAATTTATTTCTCTAACATAAGATTTAAAGGTACAGGATCAATGATTTAACCTAAGGAAGATTTTTAGATTCTCACTGTGACCTCAATTCCACAGAATAGTAAATATTCCTATGCTTTTGGTAAAATTCTTCCTGAAGCTTCTCTGAATTAAATTGGTAAAACTCATATTTTTTGCCAGAAAAATGTCTTCAGAGAAAAGAAACAGGTGGTAGTGATCTCAGCCATTACAGATGCTTGCCTGGCAAGAATTTAGACTGTAAATACTGATTTATTTTATATTTGTATATTTTTTTAATTCAGAAAATTGTTGTGAGCTGTTTCACAAGTAGCATATTAGCACCATTTGAAATTCAGCAGCTTCTGGGAAGATGAAGGAAAAGCGTAGCTTCCAGGCTAAGTACAGAGAGTCAAAATGCCTGAGGCTGAATTGATTCAATCTTCTTAGGTTACTCTAAATTGCACAGATTGAGCCAATAAGTAAGTGAACAGGCATTCACTTCTGATTCTGGGAATGCAGCCACATGCCTGCAGTAGACCAAGTCAGAAGCTGGGGGGTGCTAGAGCATGCCTCCCTGCTTGGATAGAGCAGAGAGCTTGGGCCAAGGTTAGCTCACCTACCCTGTAAAGGGTGGGGAGGGTTCAGGGGGTTGCAAAGCATCCTGGGATGTTGAGGGACTGAGTTAACTTGAATTTGGAGGAGATCTGGGACAGAAGTTCAATGAACTGATGTAACCTAAATTAGTTAAGTCTGCTCCATCCAGGTTTATATTAAACCAGTTTTGGCCATTTTGAAAGTGGTTTATGTGCACTGAACTTCTGTTGTGTTACATATTTGAACTGGTTTCCAGTCACTTACACTGGTTTACGTGTAATTTCTTCCCCTAGCCCCAGTGTCTGCAGCCCTTTAGCAGACCTACTAGAACTACAGGGATGGTTTAATCAGAACACTACCTATGACCCTGAAAGTTTGTTGAACTTGAGATGATATGAATATCATTTAATCAGAAAACATGTGACAAGATCTAGTCCTTAATTCATCTTATTCTGCAGGACATTCATTTTATTTTGTATCTTATATGGGCCTGCGTATAAAATGGGTAGGTGGGGGTGGTCTTCAAGCTAGATGAAAAGGAATTCTGGACAGGCTGCACTACAGACAAAGTTGAATAGAATTGCATCAAACCGTGTAAGCCTTAAAAACATTAACTAGGGCTCAGAATGTAAGCATAGTGAAGCTATGGCATGATTAGGCATGATTAGCCTAATTCTGCCATTTTTAATACACATTAAGGGTACATACATGTAGATGCATGCCCATAATGCTCATTAAATTAGGCTAATGTGTATGAACTCGTCTCGTGTACACACGTCCTTTGTGAGTTAACTTTCCCCTTTATGCACAGAGATAAATATGATAATGGAGATGGCTCCATATGATTGATTTTCTGGTCAGCTCATTTTATTGATCTACTTAGATATGGTTGACTTGTTTATGTACTGCTTTTTTAGTTAACTGTTGCTATTTTCCTTCCCTTTTTAGTAGCATCTTTCTTAGATATATATTTCATTTATACATTTAATTTTTTTATTATGAACCACAGGTCATATGTTATATGACTGAAGATGTACACAATATACATATACACATACATTATATTTGATCTAATATATGGGACACACATTATATTGATACATTTGTATATCTATTACTTAATTAGTATTGCTTAACTTGTATAAAAAGGGCTTTGACCTGAAAGGTAGATATATTTTACCTCAGTAATTAGCATTTTCCATAGTATCTTAAACATTTCCACCAGGGACAATTGCCTTTTTATATGTGAGAAGCAAAGATTTCTTGGGGTGGTATTTTTTATTGGCCCACCTGGCCATGTCTTCATGAGACGCTGACTGTGCAGTAGCTCATTACTACTGTGCAATAGTGGTGCATGGCACAAAGCATGATGCGACAATACTGCACAGTAGTAATGAGCTACTGCGCAGTCAGTGTCACCTTAAAGCCATCTAGCAATTACTGCTCAGTAACTGTGGTTACCGCACAGTCATTTAGTACATGTGTATATGAGTACTAAATGACACGTGTATATGAGTGTAGTCATTTAGTACTCATATGTACTGTGCAGTTAGCGTCCCATGTAGACATGGCAACTGTGTAGTTGGGCTACAGTTAGACAAGTTTTTGCATGCAAGACATTCTTCCTCAGGTCCTTTTATTTGTGACCATTTGTACCATTCCTCCAGAAAAGGTAGTTTTCTTTTCCTCCAGAATGGATTGACCTCTTTGTGACAAAAACCACAAAAGGAACAAGAAATTCATCAAGGTTTTCCTTGGAATTTTCCACTAAAATGTTTCATCAAAGAATGGGGTTGTTTGCTTTCAAACTGACAAGGATTTTGAATTGCAAAACCCACAGATCTTGTTGGATCCATCAGAAGCCAGAGCTAACTGCAGGTGTGCTTAACGTTTGTAATCTGTGGCTGGGTCCTACTAGGCTCCATACTCCAATGGAGTCTGCAGTGCAAAAAGAGCCAATGACTTACTTTTTTTGGCATTTGCATTGCTGCAGGGATGATGGAAGAATGGTGTTTAGAGACTAGTTATCTCTCCCTTCTACCCCAGTGATGGATTCTGAATCCAAGGGAAATATCTTCCTGGCTTCTATGGGACACTTTTATACTTTCTTTTGGTCATATTAATTTGCTCCTGCAGGCAGTGTGGATAATACTGCCTAGCGTTATTCCTTGTGGTGGGTGAGGAGGCAGAAGAATTGTTCAGAATGGCTCAGTGAAGTAATGGTAGTCAAGCAATAGGATAAAAATAAGGCAATAAAAGGAGATGCAGAATAGTCTCTGTCTAAAATAGAGTTCATATTTTGCATTAGCAATAAGGTAATTTTATCTAACAACTCAGGGTACTTATTTCTATGTTCCTAACAGTATCAAGATGAAGCCATCTCTAGGCTGGCAGGCACTAGACAAGTATTTTAGAGCCACGTGAGGAGAAAGGCTATGAGGCAGTATTTACCTTTGTGAAAGAGGATGGTATGATTCTCTGGGCCCAATCAGCTGTTGAAAATTGGCAGGACTTTATTGAGGATCTGGTCCTTTATGTTCATAGAAAGCAGCTAGGACCTTGATATTTAACCTTAACTGCCAGCTTACTGAACTAAGCTAATTCTTGATGTAATTACATGCAATCCAATGAGATATATTTGACCTGTTGTTATCTTTTTGTGATAACATTTCAAAAAAGAAACAATAAGGGGAAATGTAGCATCTTAAAGTGTTCGATTACCAGTCCCACCTGAAGCCATCTGGGGCTGAGGGCCTTGTCACATGTTCACTTGCAACAGTTGCAAATCATTGCAATGGTAGCGACCCATTAAAATTAGTGTATGATCACCCTTTCCTGAAAGGAAACAACTTTGCAATGCTACAAGGACTCCGGATACATAGTAAATTGCTTGAATGTGCATTTTCTTGCATTTTAACTGCACTTAGTAAGTGTTAAGTTGAACATGTGACACTACCCTGTTTCTCTAACCGTGTGTCCACTTCAGACCATTAGCTTTGTTATGTTTAACAAAGACACCTCAATCCATTTAGGTCACTTGTTTTCCTAATAAACATAACATTGTTTATAATAGAGATTAATACACATTTTGAGAGGATAACTTGTAAGTTGTATTAACAGCTCCTGAGGCAAGGAGAAACTGGTGGTAAAACATTAACATACAGTAGTAATGTCCATCTCTTTATAAGTGTGTGGTTTTTAAAAAAAAACTTTATCTATGCAAAGATGAGGAAAATATAGGGAAAATGTGAATCTTACACAGACTATTTCAAAAAGCCACATCAGCTTTTTCTTGCTTTGAAAAATGATACTTAATTGTAGAGGATGATAATCTGAATTAGTGAAAGACTTCAAAAGGTTCAAAACATGGGCTCAGTTTCAAATCTTCCTGATGCAGGAATCAACCTGGAACCAAGGGGCATCTTTACACATGTGGCACTGGGTGCTGTAATTAGCAAGCTGTGGTAAATAAAGGTGCCCATGTGTCATGTGTATCAGCATCCCCATGTATCCCCATGCTGAAAAAATGGCGATGGGTCGCTTTGAACTAAAGCTCATCCAACTTGTTTTATTTCAAAGTGCCCCACAGCTATTTTTTCAGTGCAGAGACATGTGATACAGAAGGCTGGTGGAGCACTTCAATTTCCAAGCTCCAGCAGATTCAGTTAATCAAGTCTGCTCTGATGCACTGGATTTCCAGTGCATTAAACCAGGCTCTGTGCATGTCTATAGGAGCCCAGGGTGCCCAACTGCCTCATAAATGGCACAGCTTGGTTAAACAGCAGCCTGGAGATCAAAATGTCTTCTTGACTAGCAGACTGAAATGTACCCCACTGCCCTTTACATTCATTTTTAGCAGCAGGTTACTGAAAGCCAACCATGGAATGAATCAGTTCAGTTTCACTTGCCAGGGGAAATCTGCATAAGGGACTTCTACTTTCTTCAGATTGCTTCAAAAAGGTTCCTACATCTCAATGGGACTGTTTGCTTCCATTGGTCAAAAGCCACCTGCAACAGGTTAGCCACTGGTGCTATTACAGCCTTGAAGCTATAGGATTGGATTCAGAATGTCAACCAGAGGTGTACCAGGGCAGCTCTGTGCCTGGGGGGAGTAGGGGGAAAGGGGAGGGGGGCACAGCTAACCACCAGCTGTGGCAGCAGCTGTTTTTACAACCCCAAAAAGTGGAGACCTAGTTGCCTTGCCTCAGTTATGCTACTGGTGGCAGCTGAGTGGGACAAAGCCTCACTTGACCCCATCTCAGCAGACCTTTCCCCAGCTATATTTTCTCTGGCTGTGTATTGTGCTGTGTTCACCAATCACGAAAGTTCAGAGAGTTCAGGTCTTGCATTAAAGATGAGGAACCCCTTGATGAGGATTTGTGTCAGCCTGACAAAATGAGTTCCCTGCACCACAGAGATCAGCTCTCATGATAACCAAGGGCATTCCCACTGCTACCCGCTTTCTTGTGGGGAACTGTCAGTTAAAACAGGTGGGTGTGAGGTGCCACATGTGTCTTGGTAGTTTCTCTTGAAGGGACTGTGTCTTTTTCACTGATTGGCTGGTAGTCTTGGCTAGTCCCTGGCATTTGAAATTCTGCCAGGTGTTAAATGCCTGCCTCTCTTTTATGAAAGCCAAAAAGAGGCCTTTTTCTCTTAAAGGGCATTAAGTTCTAAAGCTCCATGAAAGATCATGTGTTGGGTAAATTTGCAATTCTTGATTGCTCCAGCTGACATCTTGTTTTGTGTTGGCAAGACTATTTTATGCCCAATTTGCAGGTGTATGAGCTCTCAGATGCATAGGAAGCACATTGCAGATACTTTTAATGCTTGTTTATGAAACACTTAGAAGAAGAAAAACAAATGTGAAAGTGTACAGTTATAAGCAGGCTATTTTACTTGAGATTGCACTGACCTACCTGGAAATCAATTGTGAGAATTCAAGCTATTTCTCTCATTTACAGAACCCCTGGAAAAAGACAATGGCAAAATAGTAATTGCCCAGAATAGGGATTTCTAATCTTATATAGAGTGTGATATATCTTATTCATGTAATCATGTTTCAAAATAGCAAGTGAGGAGGGATCTGAACAAAAAACCT